TAATATATTTATTGCTTACTTATTTTTATATGTATGTTTTTAAAAATATATCATTTCTTGTTTTATTTTATGTATATGTGTGTATTGCCTGTATTGAAGATTCCCAAGAGGTATTTCTCTCAAAGGCATTGAATATTATTATCTTTAATAGAAAAGTTTATACGCAAGAAAATTTTGTCTGAGAATCCTTCTAGATCTAAGGTGAATAGATCTCTCTGCAAGTCCTATAGTTCCCTCTAATCAGCATGAAGCTTAAGCTGGCAGTAAAAACTCTTATCTGCTAAAGGTCTACCTCTCACTGGAGACAAGTGATCCCTGTTGCATCAGTTCTTTGAGGTACCATATGGGTTCTTCTGTAAGAATTCTTTGGTGGTAGTCAACCATTTTAAGGCAGAAAAGAGCTTCTTGGCAGAGCACCTCAATAATAAAAGAAAAGCTTAAGGATCCAGGCCTTGGAAAGGGCAGGAGTAAAAGCAACTCCAGGGGTAGATACTCACTTCAGAATGGTGTCCATTAGGACAAGCGTTTGACAGTCAAAACACTGCCCATCACCTCCATTGGTATTTATCTGTTTTCCGTGGAGATTCATTCCTTCCTTCATTCACTTATTTGTTTATTCATGCTTACTATATGTCAGGCACTAATTAAGCTAATACCTAATAATAAAAAATGAGTAAAAAAAGATAGCAAAAATTATAATGAAGCATGTGATAAATGATTTAAATGATTGAGAATACATAAAATATGAGAATACATAAAAAAGACATACTCCACGTTTCTTCAAAACATGTTATATAAACATTATGGTTAGTGATTGTTATCACAAACCTTTTGATAACTCTACTGGGAAAATTGCTTTTCTGAGCTAAGTTGTTTCAAAAAAAATTTAAAGTATAATTCCTCCTTGACCGGATTGTGTTTAATATAAGATAGTTTTCCCAATGGTTCTTGAGTGTATCAGCTGCTGAAAGTGAAGGTGATATAACAGTCTGACTATTGGTCTTGAGATTTATTTGTACTTTAAGGAACCATGTTATTATTTTATAGCCACTCATTTTTATGTCTTTTATTTCCTCAAGACATGTAATTATTTGACTGGTTTTGACTAAGGACTAAGACCTAGACCAAAGTATTCTACTTTTATAATAAGGAGAGCATATCACTGTATTTTACTTATTCATTTTTTTTTTTAGATCTGTTCTCACTATATTGCTTAGGCTAGCTGGAAGCCCTGCACTCAAACCATCATCTTCTCTTAGGTTCCTTAATATCAGGGACTACAGACATAGACCATGGTGCCTGTTTTTCACTGAATATTAAAGGTCGTAAGAGACAATACTTCCCTAGAGAACTCTCTCTTAGAAACCAAATCACATCAGAAGACAGACAATAACTTGATGTAAAGTCTATAAAAGTATATTGAAGTATGATGTGATTAAAACAATCATTTGTATTTCAAGGTACATAAAAAATTACAAATAAAATATCCAGTTGGAGGAAAACGTTTACAAATTTAAAAACCAATACTCTGTGTTAATGCATAATTATTTCTTAGGAAAACAGACTTTTTGAGGTTCTGAGGATCGAACCCAATCCATTAACTGTGCTGGAGAAGCATTTCACTCCTAAATCCTAAAGAGAATTTTTTACAATGTAAATGTGCTTTGATGATGTGCTTAATTCCTTCACTTCTCTACTTTGTGATGGCACGGATTGTTTTCCTTTCCTGGAGTTACTTTCTCCAGCGTTCTTTCTTCTAATCTTGAACCTCCTGTTCACTAATGCCCACTTCTTTAGCCTGCAATCACACAAGGACCTTTCTTCATGCTAAGGAATTTCTAGTTGTTCTCCTTGGGACTTAACTTTTCTTCTTCCTTTGTGTAAGAATTTACTAAGCTGGGCTGTCTTATCATGCTTTACTAGATGGCTTGAATACTTTTTAAGTGTGAGAACTCAAATTCTGCCATTGATTTTTCAGCCCATTTTTCAAAATAAATGTGAAATTTGTTTTCATAAGAAATATCTATGCATTTATACAGGGTATTCATTTTTAAATTCCAATTGAAGAAATTTTGTTTGGTTTTTGTTTTGAGGTTCTGGGGATCAAACCCAAACCCTAAGCACTCTACCACTAAGCTATATTCCCCAGTCCTGAAGAATTATTTTTTAAATTATAAGAGTGATGAACAAATAAACTTTTTTCATATGAAATGTATTTGCTGATTTTCTGTCTTAGGATTAAAAAAAAAATCTACTTTGGTGCTGAGTAGGATTCATTAACATAGTTTTAGAGCGTTGGGTAATCAACACCCCTAGTTCTATCAGCTGCAATTTGAACTGTTCTTTTTGTTTTTTGAATTTTTTGTTGTTGTTTGTTTTGTTTTGTTGGACAGGTTCTTACTGTGTAGCCCTAGCTACCTAGAACTCATTATGTGGACCAGGCTGGCCTCAAACTCACAGAGATAGACCTACCTGCCTCTGCCTCTCAAGTGCTGAGTTAAAGATGTGTGCTACCACTCTCAGCATTGTAATTTAGACTTTTAATATCTATTCATCTACCTGAATATATATGGGAGTGTTAGTGTGAGGATTGGAGTTAATGTATGTAAAATACCTAAACATACTATTGGTTCATAATGGGTGCTCAACGTGACAAAGGGAAAGGAATGTATAGCTAAACTTACCACCAATCAGAACTCACCACTTCTGAATTTATGTCTGTCTAGTCAGTTGGCTGTACTAGAGAATGGAGAATGTTAAAACTTTCTTTTATTCTTTTAGATTCTCTTAGGAACCATGCTTGCCTGACAGGGTGGTTAGTAGACAATATTATTTTTCTGCTCTTAAGAACCAAAGTTTGGAGAAGGAACAATGTCCTTTATGTTCTTGGAAAATATTTACAGCAACAGTAGTAATAACAATATTTTCTCGTCACCAAGAACTCCTGTAACCTCTTTCCAAGAGTTTTATTATTGAATCTTCATAATTCTATAATTATTACTAGCTTTCACTTATAGACATTTTATGGAGGCAAAGACATTAAGAAATTCACCCAAGGTCAACCAGCCCACAGGCAAATGAAACAACATTGAAACTCAGGAGCGTGGTTGCAGAGAATGTGCCACTACCCCCTTCATTTGACAGGGCATTCTGTGTGACTTTCCTTATCTGAATGAGGTAAATGGGTGATGTAGGCATCTTTATGGAACATCATACTTTGATTGAAACTGTAAAAATTATTCCCAAGAAATAAATTCCTTCTATTCTAATTGTATACCTGTTAAACATTTTATAATTCTAATTAATATTAAAGGAAATTTGTATTTTTATGAATCATACCTAAAATATAATATATATGATATTATTTCTTATTCAAATTTTTGTTATGTTTGTGTGTGTGTCCCATGACATGGATGGAGGTCAGAGGACAACTTGTATGAATCAGCTCTCTCCTTCTACCATGTGGGTCCCAGGGATCAAACTCAACTTGTCAGACTTTGCAGCAAGTGCCCTTACCTGCTGAGCCATATTACAAGCCCATGACAATCTACTTAATTATGAAAGATTTTTGGACAGTTTAAAAGCAGCTTGCATAATCCACTGAATGAAGAGAGCTTATCTGGATATGTTTGGGGAAATTTTAAAAAATACTGAGTTCAATGCCCATCTTTATTATTAGTTATTTTTTAGATCTATTTACCATTTCAATAGAAATATCTTCTCTCAAAGTAGTATTTCATTTCTAATAAATATGGAACTTAAATCGACATGTTGTATGTGCCAACATTTTAATTAATTTTTATTAAACATTTTAATATAAAATGTTTACATGATTAAGCTGGGTGTGGTGGTGCATGACCTTTAATCCCAGCACTTGGGAGGCAGAGGCAGGCAGATCCCTGCAGCTGGAGCTACAGGGAGTCCCTGTCTCAAAAAAAAAAAAAAAATGTTTACATGATTTCACAGATTCCATCTAGTTTTAAATTTTTATTTGTTTATTTTGTGCTTGTGTGTTTGTTCATATAGACATGTGCATACCAGCAGTATATGTGGAAGCCAGAGGACCACTCTAGGGAGTCAGTTCTCTCCTGCCACTTTGTGAGCTATGGAAATTGAGCTCAGGTCATTAGACCTGAGGGCAAACACCTTTATCCACTGAGCCATCTTGATGCTGTCCTCACTCCTCTCTAGTTTTTTCATGGCAAAAGATTTGTAGGTTTTAGAAGTCTAGAATTCAACCTTTGGAAGCTATTTTCTTCCATTTCTTTTTGTATACAGCTCGAAGGAAGAACACTAACCCAGCATATGTAGAAGACGTCCAGCAATACAAGGTATGTCTATCCATGTTTAGCAATAAACATTTTTGTAGATTTTCAACTGCTTTATAGATTATCAAAGTTTATCAATATTGTTTATAGATCGCCAAAGGGGAAAAAAAGATGCTGAAGCATTAGTTAGCTCAGTGACTGCACCTTTGGCTTAAGACACTTTGGAAAATTGCATGAGAATACTCTGAAACAAAATTAAGTAAATGTAGCATGCCTGGGCACACTCATGTTTTATAAGCCATTTCCTTTCTCTGCATCCTCATGGAGCCTGGAACTTATCAACCATGTCAATTTTTTTTTTCTGATTTAAGCACAGTTCAAGAATTAAAGTTGTCAGTCTACTTATTCAAATTTTACATTGTGGGCGATTGCTCTTCATCTGGTACTTGAGTTGTGGCCAGTAAGAAGAGCCAGTGTTCCTGTTTTAATCTTAGCAGCCCACAGTCAACTTTCCATACAAGCCAATTTAGAAGTATATCTGTCTTTGGTTTTTAAATCCCTTCTTACATTACCCTATCTATATATTTCTTTTAGATAGCAAAGGGCGAAATTTTCCTAATTCTGTTTTTTGCTATGTGAAGCTGGGAGAGGAGAATGTTTTTTAAAATTCTCTTATAAAACTTTGTTTATAATATCTTATGGATTATATAATCTATAGACGAAAAGAAGCTAACTACATTTTTTCTTTCTATAGAAACCAAGATATAGTTCTAATAATCACACTGAATTTGTTCATGACAAAAATTCTAATAGACAGAATCCAAGACATGTAGAAATCAATAAAGGAAGCAAAGATTTACTTACAAATATAGAAGGTATATATGAACATTACCAGAAAGATTTCAGGATCACAAAATTTCACAAGCCCAAGCATAAACAATCAACTGTTGACCAAATGCACTCTATAGGACTCAGAAAAGACAAGCTCCACAGTGTCAGAGATAACAGAACTAGCGTGTCTGAAAGAAAAGGACGAGGAAACATGCAGCACAGGTGGACTCAAGTAGATGACAGAGTTTGCAGTTTAAGTCAGGAAATAGCTATTTCTTCTTCCAGGAGAATGAATACATTGGCTACTCATGAACAGCATACTCTCCAAACCCTGGATGACCTTCCAGAAGAGTCATGTGAATTTTCTACCCCAACTCTGTCAAGTTTGAAAAATGGATTTGATGGCAATAATGAGGCTTGTTTAGCTTCCGAAGAGTCACGTACCCATAACCTGGATTTATCAAGCAGTCAGGAAGTCCAGTGCTTAGAATTAGAATCCATTGATCAAACTAAAGCTGCTTCCTTCTCTGGACTTTCATTATATAAAGAAATTAAATTTCCAGTTGTTACCAAAGATCAGCAGCCCCCCACCAACCAAGAACAATGCAGTAACCCTTGTCAGTTCCCTGAAAACTATAGCTCAGATAACAAAGGCAAGAACATTAATGAATGGGAAAATTCTTTTGTATTGTTTATAAAGGGACATGTTGATAATGATGGTGCTCACTGCACCTCTGAGATGTCTATAACATCAAAAATAGAGATACATTCTGTAGAGTACACAAGTCACTGCAATAATGAAGAGACTAGAACAAATAGAGAAGAAATGGATACTCTACAATGTTCATCTTCTGAAATGTGTATTTCACGGGAAAATGACTTAAAAACAGGGAGCCCAATTCTACTTCAACAACAGAAAGCTATTAGTTTTTGTGATTCAGATAATACGTTCATTTCTGAACAACATGTTGCAAATTGTGAACAGTACATATATGAAACTTCTTTTGATCACTCACACACCAATACTGACCAAACTTTCCTGCCTTGTACAAGACTGCCTTTAACACATGAAATTTCAAAGTTGACTAGTCAAGTGGAGCTATTAGAAAAATCTCAAGATAATGCCCCCAAAGAACCAACTCCTTTAATAAATCAAACGGATACAGACAATGTGGAAAACAAACAAGACAATGAAAGGAATCACACTATGAAAGGCCAAACACCAAGTTCTTCAAATAGCCCTTTCCCCACAGTTGTTCATTCTCAAGTAACAGAAACAACTAAAGTGGAAAAGAGGAGAGAAGACCTTCCAGAGAATGAAACCATGTGTAATATAGACTTTCATTCCACTGGCAGTATGAAGAAAAAATTGGCCAACATCTCACAACTTAATCAAAGAGAAGAGAAGGAAATTTACCACAAGTCAGGTATTGCTGTTATTTCTCGATTTGTACATGTTTTCTATAGATTTCCTTTTTTTGGTAGAAATTTACATTGAATTCTACTTAACCTGTGCCCAAACTGACAAGGATAAGGCTGTCATATAGGCTCTGATTTTAGAAGCTGAGAGGTCCATTAGTTAAGCATTGGGACTTACTTTGAAATTAAGAAGCTTATGCTCTACCAACTGAGCTAGCCAGACATCCCAAGTTTTACTTTAAAAGTTGGACTGTTATTATCAAAGATGGCTGTTAAACTGATATTGACAGAAGCTGATGAACAGTATGTGTATCAGTTTTTATATTTCTTTTTAATATAGCACATATTTAGTATCCAGAAACCTAACATGATTTTCATAGCAGAAAATTGTTCACTCTACTGATTTCAACTGTTCATTGCATTTCCATTAGAATTGCAACGAATAAAATTGGTTTGTTATATAAAAACATTTTAAAAGCTCTTAAACAGTTCTGCTTGAAGCAGAAATTCTGAAAGAACAGCACTCTTATTTTCTTGTTCTATAACCAGTAACAAGACCTATAATACTAATGACATAAAATGCTTATGTTTCAGAGGAACTAACTAATACCAGAAAAAATGAAAGCGCTGTAAGAAACTGTAAGGAGAAAAAAGAAAAAATAGATTCAGAAATTCACATGCCTCCTAATTCCCAAGAGCACAGAAAAGATCAGAATTTCAAAAAAAGCAAAAAGTTCTTGAAAGCTGCCTGCAGCCAAGGTTTGTATAATTGTTTAGGTAAAAGCTTTATAGATAAAACTGATTACTCTACTTCAAATAATTCCTAAACATTTTAATTATACTGGTTTTAATTTTTTGCAACTTGGAAATAGTCACTGAAGTTATAAGATTATTTTAGATGTCACTGCTGATAAAGCACATTTGAGAACCCAGTAGTCTTCTGATTTCATCATATTTCTGACAAGGATGACTTTCAGTTTGTTATGTTAGAAGAGACATCAAGAATACTCAGTGGGAGGGTTATGGTTCTGTAATGTCTCACATTCTTTGACAAATCCATTTAGCCTTTTTAACATAAGGAATGTTAAAGAAGTATGAGCATTAACTTAATGTTTTCACATGAATCAACTGTATGTATTTGGCCATATGGATAAGCCAACTCTCCTTTAATGGTTACAGAGTTAGTTCTGTGATGAACAATAACATGGACCTCCCAGTTTAAACATTAAACAATGAAAAGTCATTTTGTAAATTGTCTGTTAAGAGGGAGGAAAGTGTTGGACAGAGTATTCTATGTGTGACCCTTCCTTTATTTTTCCTCTCTATATAAATTGAAGACCTTTTATACATACTTCCTAACAGTAGATTGACTAATGACCCCCCTCATATGTCTGCTACCTAATCTCTGGGACTTATGAATAACACTTTCTATGATAAAAGTTCAAGTATTATTACCTTCTTTGGAAAAAGAATATTTACATAAATAATCAAATTAAGGACTTTGAAGTGAGATTATTCTGAGTTAGATGAGCCCTAACTCTAAGTTTCTTTATAAGAGAAAGTTAGAGGGGAATTTGAGAGATACATGATAGAGTTTATGTAGCCACAAGCTAAGGAGCCAAAGAATGCCAACAGCCAACTGAAGCTGGAAGAGGCAGGGAAGACGTCTACTCTAGAGCTTCAGTATGTGCTGCCCTGCTAATACCTGATTTTAGATTTCAGGTCTCCAGCTATCCTTGTGATAGCTGCAACAACAAACCAATATACTTTCCTAGTAGCACTTAATATATATATTTTTTAATTTTTACAAAAATTTTATTGACAATTTCATACATGCATATAAGGTGTTTAGATCAAATCCATGCCCACTCCTTCCCTGCCAACATTCCCCCCTCTGAAAAGGTAACCCTAAAATCTTCTTTGTTGTTGTTGTTTCTTTGTTTTATTTGCTTGGATTTAAAAAAAATTATTTATTTATTTTTACACCCACTTCCCAGATAGCACCCTCCCATAGCCTTCCTCCTCTCACTAGAGCCCTTATACTCTGATATCCCTGCTACTGTCTGCTGTGTTGTCGGCACCCGCAGCCGTTCCCCACTACTTGCCCTTCTGGTGAATCTAGTCAGCCTATCTAGAGGTCTTTGTTTTAGGAGGGTCAGCTGTTCTTCATCTAGCGATAATCATTTGTCAATATTCCTTTGGATAAGATTGGGGTCTACTGTTCATTTTCCCAGTTCTATGCTGGGTTACCATCTGGGAATCCCTTTGGCCCCTCTGGCCAACAACTCAAAAGAAGGTATCGCCTGTCTGGCATTGTTGCTTGTTATGTAGGCTTTAGGTATACATATGGACTCTTATGAAATTATACTGGCCCCTTTAATCTTTGGTTATACTTTCCTCTTGGGTGTTTAAGGCCATACAGTTGGTCCAGATAAACTGATTTATTTTTACTCTTAAGGTCGTTTGAAGATCTGTTCCTCAGGGGTCATATGGGCTTGGGAGGAGCCCCTGGGTCCTTACTTTCACCAGTTCTGCCTATGTGAAGATAAGTCAAAGGTCCTGCTCGACCATGGTTGGCTTCTCTTGGAGGCATGAAGGAAATGATTCCTCTGTGTTGATCCTCCTCTTTATACACTGGACACTGGTTCAAGTCCATCTGGTGGGGTCTCCTCAGCCTCCTTGATCAAGAAGACAGGTGACCCAACACCATTATAGGACATTTTGAGAGATGCTCATAGTCCGCTGCAACTAGTCAACCTAGGAGGGCAAGGAGCAAAAACTGTCCTTTATGTCCCTCTGACCAAATTATTATAGGCCTCAAAGTATATCTGTTAAACACCCAAGAAGGTTATTTCCACCAGTCTGGTATTTTTACCTTACTGTGTGTCATGTAGATAAATCTTGGGCAAAGACCAGTTGTTCTCAGATAAACCTTACCTAGACATATATTTCTTGATCTGCTATGTATAATTTGTCCATAGGTTGTAGGAGTAAAATGTTTCCCTCTGGTTTTCA